ATGTAGTTACTATATATATATATATATATATATATATATATATATATATAAATATGGTCGTATGTATCTATCTTGGGATATAAATGAAAATCTTTTAAAGAAAATTAAATGCCACGAAATAAACAAACCCAACAGCAATAACACGTCACTATCATAGGGTTCCATAATTCACATAGCTAGTAACATGTGGTTCAATGAACAAACCCTTTTTACCACCATAGACACCTGTTTATGAGGTGTCGTTTTAATGGGTGTTGTTGAGCCATCGACAATGGATAAAGATAAAATATCTTATGTCCCTAAATTCATATGCCTCATCGATTATTTGTCATTATTTTATTTAATATAATGGGTTGATAGAAAGAGTAGGATAAAGTGGAAAACGAAATTTTATCTTATCAACATCTATGTAATGATGTACTTACAGATTTTTTGTAGATTTTTTTAGTTAATGTTAATTTTCTACTTGATATTATCACTCTTTACTAATGTGATGTGCGGCAACTTTAGGAATGAGTCAATGTCTTCGTGAAATAATGAGCAAAAGAAAAACGGACGGAAAAAAATGTCTAACTTAAAAAGGGTTGTAATTTTGGATCCATTAGAAGGGTACTCGTGCAATGCAGTGAGATACATTTTGATTTAAATGTTTCATTTTATTTTATCCCTTTGTCAATGTTATAATATGGTTTTATGTGGTTTTGAGGAAAACGATAATATTTTTATTTTTAAATAAAATATAAATTTTATTATAATTTAATTTAGGTTTAATAAGAAGTAATTTATTTTTGATTTAATAATATAATTTTTTATAAAAATAATAATTAAGTATTCTGTTACAAGACAATGATTATCCTAATTATATTTTTAGATTTTTTATATTTAAAATGAAATGTTTATCCAGTATGTGATTATTTTTATCTGTAGTTAGTTACACGAATTCAAGTATTGAACTTCAATAAGTTGTACTTATGCATTATTTACTTATAATCTTGAATTTTAAGTAATATACATCAATAAATAGTATTTTATGTATAAAAAATGGTTTTTAAAAATTTTTGTCAAATGCTTTATAATATAGTATAGATTACGAAATACGGGAGGCATAAATTACGCATGAGAAGTTAGCGAAGAGTCCGACTCAACTTTCAGCCCAAATTCCCTTTACGAGGAGGCCTTGATTCCGGATTTTTATTTTTATTTATTTGGGTAAGCGCTTGCCAAATAATATTACATCACTGGATGAATATGGTAAGAACTAATAATCTTATCCGGTAAGAACGAGGCAAGAACCAAAAGTCTTACCCGATAAGTGAGGGAGACGACTCTTAACACGATAAACGCTTATCGGGTAAATTGTTGCATACCATGTCCTTTTTGTGGACTAAAATCTTACCCAATAAGTAAATAATAGTGTTAAATTTTATCGGTAAGCACTTACCGGATAAGTGTTTGGTATACAGCCCCTAAATGATAATATACAAAATAAAGCCATAAATTTAAACGAAATATAATTATAAACTGTGAGTCTCAACCGTGAAGTCGGCCAAAAAATATTCTTGACACCATTTATAAGTTGGTTGGAATCATCAATAATTAACTTTTTATCCGAATTGAACTCTAAATTTTAGTTGGTAAAAACCATAAATTTAAATGAAATTAAAAATACAACAATTCAAAGATCAAAGTTTTTTTATTGGGATGGATGTGAATACATGTCCATTGATGGAAAAGATAAAAACAAAATTAGAATTTCTGCAGAAATTGAAAGATGTGGTGGTTAATCTCATCAGGCTTCTCTTGGTTGATAAAATGGGCTGCACCTTCCATCACCACAACTTGCTCCAACAATGGAACATCCTTCACGAAACCACCATCGTGTATGTACTCCTTCATCCCCGACATATGATAGGTCAGGTCCAGATCCCCGATCACGAATTTCGATGGCACCATCACTTTACCTCCCCGCCATGCTGAACTCAGTTCCCAGTTCCTATATTATATAACCAACCAAACTTATAATAAAGATTCTTAATTCTAAAACAAATTAACCATTTGCAATCAATTAAGATGAACATACAAATGAAGAGCTCGATAATAGTTGAGTCCACCAGAAAAACCAGTCTTGTCGAGTTTGTTAGCAAAGTATTCGATGTCTTCTTCTGATAACCAAGGGGGCAAGCTAACCGGGGCATCACCAGCTACATATCCTTTCTCTTTAGAAATGTGAATTTGTGTCGGATCTCGGATTGTCAAAAACTTTTTTACAAATGTTTCGGTACTCATTTGGCCAAACTCTGCTTCAATTTTTCCTGGTTCCTAGTACACCATAAATACATATGAATGAAATCGTTAGTAACTGAGCAAATCCAAAGTGTTCAAATAAATGTGGAATCCTATTAGATTAATCAACAGAAAAGCATCAGAGATGTACCAACATATATATATATATATATATATATATATATATATATATATATATATGGAAGAGGGTTTAAATCTAACTACAAAAAATTGTTATCAAATCAATGGAACCTACCTGAAATCTGAAGCAGAATGATTCAAACTGTGTTGCCAGGAGCTCTCAAATCACGTGGAGTTTTTTCTTTTTTTAAAAAAATAAATAAATTGCCTAATGGGTCTTGCTGTTAGATTAGGCTATTCTTTAGGTGATGCTATTCTTTAGGGTTGTTGAGTATTTTTCGTATACTTTTTCCTAT